TTTAAAGGCACTGGGTTAAATCCAGGCTTTGGGCAAACAGCAACAACCCTCGGATGGATCCCAGGGACAGGGCAGAGGTTTGCACCCCCTTTTCCTGACATTCCCTCAACACCACGTGCAGGCAACTGGTCTGAGGGAGGGAAGGCACCGACTCCTTTATCCTTGGATGTTTTTCTCCACCGCTCAGGAAGGTGCCACCTGGCCACACAAGAGTCCAGCTCCACAAGGAAGCTGTCAATCATTGACCAGTTCCCAAGAGGATCAGTTGAGGACCTTGCCCTTCCAAGATCCACCGGTGCCAGCTGGGAAAGCTGACCCTGCTCCAGCACAGCCTCCTTCCCAGCACACCCCGGGACGTCCACAGTGGAACTGCCACGTCTTGGCCAAGCTTGGTTTCAAAACCCTGGGGAAGAGCTCAGCTAAGCCCAGCCCAGAAAGAACCAAATGAGACGAAACGAGGAGTGGAATCCCCTCAGCTCAACTCGCCAGGAAACTTCCCACGGGCTGACGTGGGGATGAACCCCAGGGCAGGGGGGCTGGGGAGGGTGGCAGTGACACTGGGGGGGTTTTACCTGACTTTGGGGGCCCAGGGCAGCCCCTTGGGGAAGGACACCCTCTCGATGGGCAGGCGCTGGGGGGGCAGGGGGGGGACGATCGTGTCCCGCTCCATCAGGTCCAGCTCCCCCTCGATCCCGCTGTCCACGTCGTCGTTCTCCTCCTCCTCCACTCCTGCCTCGTCGTTCTTGAAGGGGTCTCTCTCGTTGTAGATGTCCAAGCTGTCCTGCTTCACCAGGGGCTGCAGCACGAGGGGGAGGAGGAACCCAAGTCACTCCATGCATTTTATTTCCCTGCCAGCTGTCGCTGCCAGATCTCCCCATCCTGGAAGGATCAAGCTCCCAGGTGTTCCTCGAGTGAGGATTTCCCTCCTAGCCTGGCCTGGATAAGGAATAACTCCTTCTGTACCTCTAACCTTGCAGCTCTAGGAGGTGGGACCCCATTATCCACCTTAACTTCTGGAGCTTCCATCCCACATCTCTGCCCTCACAAAAGGCATTTCATCCTCAGACCACAGCACAGCAACTCCAGGAGAGGAGCTAAAAACAGATCCTGCTGGGAGCAGTTTGCTCCTGGGGGTTATCAGCCCTTTGCCAGAGGGTTGGGATGTCCTCTGGCTTCCTCTGGACAAACCCACCAGGGGCTCAGCTGCCACAACAGAAACTGGGGGAGTGGAAAACTGGACATGGCCTGGCCACGTGTCCTGAGAGAGCCCCAAACCCAACTGTGCTCTGGGCTGATCCCACAGGGATCGTGGGCAGCAGGGCAGGGGGGGATCCTGCCTCTTTGCCCCCTCAGGGGAGACATGCCCCCCTCCTGCAGAGCTGCCTCCAGCCCTGGGAACAACAGCAGGAGGACGTGGAGCTGCTGGAGGGAGCCCAGAGGAGGCCCCGGAGCTGCTGCCAGGGCTGGAGCCCCTCTGCTCTGGAGCCAGGCTGGGAGAGCTGGGGGGTTCCCTGGAGAAGAGAAGGCTCCAGGGAGAGCTGAGAGCCCCTGGCAGGGCCTAAAGGGGCTCCAGGAGAGCTGGAGAAGGACTGGGGACAAGGCCTGGAGCGACAGGACACAGGGAATGGCTTCCCAGTGCCAGAGGGCAGGGATGGATGGGATGCTGGCTGGGAGGGTGGGGAGGCCCTGGAATGAATTTCCCAGAGAAGCTGTGGCTGCCCCTGGATCCCTGGAAGTGTCCAAGGCCAGGATGGAGCAACCTGGGACAGTGGAAGGCGTCGGCTGGAACCGGATGGATCCAAGGTCCCTCCCAGCCCGAAGTGCCGGTGCTGCCCCAGCAGGACGTGGTGGCTCCTACCCTGCGGCTGCGGTGGCCCCGCTTCTGCTGCTGCTGCTGCTCCACGAGCTCGATGGAGTAGGTGGGAGGAGAGGCCGCCCTCATGCTCCGGACCACCTGGATGCTGTCCTCGGGCAGGGGGGGCAGCCCCAGCTCCTCCCGCCGCCGCACCTTCATGGCCTGCAGGGCCTCGAACCCGCCCAGCGTGAACTGGGGACAGAGGAGAGGTCGCTCAGCAGGGACACACATCCCATGGCTCAGCAGGGACACACATCCCACCCCTCAGCAGGGACACACATCCCATGGCTCAGCAGGGACACACATCCCATGGTTCAGCAGGGACACACATCCCATGGTTCAGCAGGGACACACATCCCACCCCTCAGCAGGGACACACATCCCATGGCTCAGCAGGGACACACATCCCATGGCTCAGCAGGGACACACATCCCATGGCTCAGCAGGGACACACATCCCACCCCTCAGCAGGGACACACATCCCACCCCTCAGCAGGGACACACATCCCATGGCTCAGCAGGGACACACATCCCACCCCTCAGCAGGGACACACATCCCACCCCTCAGCAGGGACACACATCCCACCAGGAGCACGGGCTTCCAGGGAGCAGCAGGTTGGGGGATCAAACTGGGGAGCTGGAGACACCAAGCCACTGGTTCATCCTCCAGACTTCTCCCCCACCCCGTGTCCTCTGAGTGCTCAGCCCACCCTGATCCCAGGGAGTTGAAGACACCACACCACTGGTTTGTTCTCCAGGGTGAGGACCACCTCTCCCCCCCTCCATGTCCTCTGAGGGCTCAGCCCACCCTGATCCCAGAGGAACCTGCCCTGTGTCAGCTCCCCGTGCCTCCCAGAAAACCTCGTTGTGGTCGGGTCCAACAGTGGGGAACACCCAGGCTGCAGCAGCGCTGTTCCAAAGCAAAATGTTTCTGGGAAAAGGAAGGGTTTGCACTCACCAGGAGCACCTTCCAGAGCAGGAGCAGGACCTTCTTCATGGGGAAGTGTGGAGCGTGGCCGCTGCAGAACTTGGTCACCATCGTGAAGAGCAGGAGAGCAAACGGCTCCTCTGTGTGCACGGGGAAACCTGTGGAGAGAGGGACCAGGAATGGCTCCGGAGCAGATCCCTCATCCCCGGGCTCTCCCCGCCGGCCCAGCAGAGCAAAGGGGCCTCCAGAGGGCACAGTGGGTTTGTGGCTCACTCAGCTCCATCCTGAAGGTCTCCCGGCAGGTTTTCCACTCGGGCGGATCCGCCTCCTGCTCCACACGGATGTTCTCCACCATCAGGTACATGACACTGAGCAGGACCCTGCGGGGACAGCAGGCGGGTGAGGCGTGTCCCTTGTCCCCAGGGCTGTCCCACCCATGGTCCCACCCTCTCCAGGTGCCAGGGGGGTACCTGAGCTCCGTGCTGTCAGCCAGGGAGATGGCCGGCTTCCGCAGGGCGCTGCTGCAGGCCTGGCTGTTCCTGCAGGGAATGGCACGGGATCGGCGCCAGCCCCGCCTCATCCCGACCCACAGCCAACGGCTGAGCCCGGGAACACCCGGGAACACCGGGATGGGGGACCCGACAGGGCTGTGGGACCCCCCTGGGCATCCGTGAGGAGCAGGAGGAAGGAGAGGGGGAGGAGGGCGGGGAGGAAGAAAGTGAGGAGGAGGAGGAGGGTGAGGAGAAAGAAGATGGAGATTCAGAGATGAAGGTGAGGAGGATGAGGAGAAAGAAGGTGAAGAAGGTGAGGAGGATGGAAGAAGGCGGCGGGGAGGATGAAGAGAAAGCAGATGAAGAGGAGGAGGGTGAGGAGGATGGGGAGAATGAAGACGAAGAGGAGGATGGGGAGAAAGAAGGCGAGGAGAAGGGAAGAAGGGGACAAAGGAGATCATAGAACCACAGGATCATTCAGGTTGGAAAAGCCCTCTGAGATCATTGAGACCAAGAAGAGGAGGGTGATGAGGGCGAGAAGAAAGCACAAGGTGAAGCAGAGGACAGGGAGGGCGAGGAGGGCGAGGGCAGCGCGGGTCCCTCACTCGATCTCCATGTTGAGCAGCTCCAGGAAGGCGGAGAAGGTGCCCAGGCGGTACAGCAGGAAGCTGTTGTGCCGAGACCAGTGCAGGACATCGCCCTCGTTATCGCAGTCCCCAAACACACCTGGAGAGGAGCAACCCCGGAGACAAACCCTTGTTGGGGAGGATCTGCCTCGGAACCCCCGGAGCCCCCGGGAAGGAGCTGCCAGCCCGGCACAGCCCCGGTAGAAGGGTTCTCCCGAGGTTCTCCCAGGGCCCCTGGCAGCAGAGACAGGGATGTGGTGCTTACCCTGTGCCAGGTAGAGGATGGCCCGGGCCACCCGCAGCCTCCTGTCCCTGTTGACCACCTCCAGCCCGTCCAGCAGGCGCATGACAAAGGCCTTCTGCTGGGCCCCGTCCAGCTCCAGCCACCTCCTGCCCGGCACTGGGGGAAGGACATGACCACCAGCCAGGGGCTTCCCCGGGGGTCCTGCCCCCACCCTGGGGGGCTGCCCCGGGCCCAGGGCTGGTACCTTGAGCATGGAAATCCTCCTCGAAGCATCTCCTGTTGTGGCTCAGCTCGGGCTCCTCGGTGTAGCTGTAGAGCTCTGGTGGAGAAAGGGATCAGCAGGGACGTGGAGGGGCTTCATCCTCCTCCTCGCTGCCAAATTCCTCGTGAAGCTTCCAGGGAGACACGGGACAGAGGCCTGAACTGACCCCTGAGCTCTCCTGCAGCTCCAGGGGGCACCTTGGGACACCCAGTGCTGCCAAAGTCATCATCTCCATCCCCGTGTCCGGGCTGGGCTGTTCCCACACCCCTGCTCCAGCTGCATTTGCAATGTCACTGGGGTTTTCTTTTTTGGGGGGGAAGTAATTTTAAGTCAGTTAAGGCAGTTTGGGAGGGGGGGAATGCAGGAACACCCAGGCAAGACCTGCACTGATTCCACAGCCAGCAGCTCAGGCATTCTGGGATCTGAAAACAGAGGTTGGACTTGGAGGGACACAACTGTTCTTCATAATCCCTGCCTGTTCCTATAGAATCCCTACTCGATCCTAGAGAATCCCTACTCGATCCTAGAGAATCCCTACTCGATCCTAGAGAATTTCTATCTGTTCCTATAGAATTTCTACCTGTTCTAGAGAATCCCTACTCGATCCTAGAGAATTTCTACCTGTTCCTAGAGAATTTATACTTTTTCCTATAGAATTTCTGCCTGTTCCTAGAGAATCCCTGCCTGTTCCTAGAGAATCCCTGCCTGTTCCTAGAGAATTTATACTTTTTCCTAGAGAATTCCTACCTGTTCCTAGAGAATTCCTACCTGTTCCTAGAGAATTCCTACCTGTTCCTAGAGAATTCCTACCTGTTCCTAGAGAATTCCTACCTGTTCCTGGAGAATCCCTACTTGTTCCTATAGAATTTCTACCTGTTCCTAGAGAATCCCTACCTATTCCTAGAGAATCCCTATAATCCAACAGCGCTGAGCAGCACCGCGGGGGACTGAGATGATCCCGCAGGGGAGGAGGGAGGATCCCTCGCGCAGGAAATGTGCTTTTGCCAGGGCAGCTCGTGCAGCTGAGGCAGCCGGAGCTAAAAATAACCCCCCTTTGCCGGGACACATTTGGGGCCGCGAGGTTAAGGGGCAGGAGCGGCAGGAAGACACGGGACAAGGACACAGCGCCCGTGACAAAGGGTGACCCCGCGGGCCCGGGCTGTGCCACAGGACAGCGCTCCCTCCTCCCGCCACTCCCGGGAAAGCCCCGTGTCCCCACAGCCCCCCTGCTCGTCCCCAAGGAGCGAGTGGCTCTCTATTAATAACCCCCGATGACACCGCTCCGCATCCATCCCCCATCCCGGCGGGATTGGCGTCCTCCCTCCCCTCCTGTTAAAAACAGCAGCGCCGCCCCCCCCCCCCAAAACGCGCTTCACCTGCCAGCTCGGCGCCGTGCCCGTCGGCATCCCCGTACTCGAACTCCAGGTTGGGACAGTCCACGGAGCCCTGCGGGGAGCGGGACGGGGTGAGCGGGGCGGGCTGGCACATCCCTGCGGGAATTCCGGGAGGCGCCGCCGGCTCTGCTCCAAAGCTCCTCCGGGCGGCTGGGTCGGCGCGGCTCGGGCACCCCGGCCGTGCCGGGAGACTCCAAACCCCGCGGAAACGTGGCGGGCGAGGGTAAAAATGGCAGTTCCCGAAGCCCGGGGGGAAGCAGCGGCGGGACCCGGAGCGCCGGCGGATATTGGATGCGTTATTTCAGAGCCCCCCCCCCCCAAAACCCAGCCTGGGGCTGGTTCCGAGCAGGAACCCCCGGGAGGACGCGGCTCCACCCTCAGCGCCCCAGACCCGGCAGCTCTCGGGGCCGGGCTCTGCCTCTTTGAAGCCCTCGGTGCGGGTTTATCCCCCTCCTCCCCTGCGGAGGAAGGAACTGGAGCGTGAAACTCGGCCCGAGGATCCCGGCGGGGCGGGGAAGGGGCGGCCACGGCCACACGGACCCGGCGCCGACCCCCGGGAAGGGACCACACGGACGGGTAATCAACCCAATTAACGTGATTCCTCCTCCCGAACCCCGGCGTCCCCCCTCGGAGGCCGGGCTGGAGCTGCTGCGCGTCGCCGCCCTTAATATTGATGAGCCGGGCTGAGCCCGCCTGCACCAGAAACGCCGGATTCTCACCCAATTTCGGCAGCCCCGAGCGAGGGCCGGGGAGTTAAAGCCGCTGAGGAATTCGGCCGAGCGCGTGCAGCCCTAATCCGCTTGGAGAGGCCGGGCCGGAGGGGGGGGGGTAGCAAACCCCAAATTCACGAGTTGCGGGGCCACGGCTTGGACACCGTCCCCCAGGAAAAGGGACCCTTTTTTGGGTCAGGGAGACGCAGCTCCTGGGTGGGGGAGCCAAGTCTTCCCGTCCTGTGCTATGGGGACCCCACGGGGGCTTTACGGGGAGCGGGGACAATGTCCCGGGCTGGATCCTGGTGATTGATCCCGGTCCTGCTTCCCCAGCCCGGCGCCCAGAGCAGCCCAGGGGGGTTCGGTGGTTCCCCCCCGCCCCGGGGTTTTTCGGGCAGGAGGGGTGAAGGGTTGGGGGGGGGAAACTGTGGCCTCCGGACCGTGGTGAGAGGGGGGTAAGTGGGTGCCTGGAGGGTGTGGGGGAGCCCAGCGTCCATCTGGGACCCCAAAACTCTGGCGCCGCTCTGGGAGTGGGGCAGGGAGGTGCCAGTGCCGGGGCTTAGCTGGGATCCCAAAACTCTGGTGCCAGCTCTGGGAATGAGGCAAGGAAGAGCCGGCGCTGGGGCTTAGCTGGGATCCCCAAACCCTTCTGCTGGATCTGAGAGTGGGGCAGGGAGATGCCAGTGCTGGGGCTCAGCTGGAAACCCCAAACCCTGCTGCTGGAGCTGCCAGCGGGGCGAGGATGTTCCAGTAGCGGGGGCAGCCCCCCTGGGGACCCCCCAGTCCGGGCTGGGCACCTCCCGCCCGCTCAGAACCCCTCTAACCCCGAGGTCGGGGTGACGACCCCCCCTCCCCGAGTCCGAGAGCTCCGCCAGCCCTGGATAAAGCCCCTCCCGCAGGAGCCCCCACCGCGGGGCAGGGACCCCCCAGCCCGTGCGAGGTGCCCTCGGCGGTGCCCCCCGCCCGTACCTCGGACTCCTTGCGCTGGGTCCTGAAGAGCTCGCGGCCCTTGGACTGTGTCTGCGCGGGGGACGGGGGCTGGGGCGGTGCCGGGCGGGCCCGGCCGGGTCCCGGTGCCGTTCCCGGTCCCGGTGCCGTTCCCGGTCCCGGTGCGGGGGTCCCGCCGCCTCCCGCCGCCTCCATCGCTGTCACTGCCCCGCCGAGCACGGGGGCCGGGCCCGGGGACGGGCCCCCGGGGTGCCCCCGGGGCTCCCAGGGCGTGGAATGTTAGAGACGGGGCCTTATGGGGTGTCCCGGGGGTCATGGGGTATGGAATGTTGGGGAGGGAGTGTTATGGGGTGTCCCGGGGGTGATGGGGTGTCCCGGGGGTCATAGGGGCGTGAAATGTTGGAGTCGGGGCGTTATGGGGTGTCCTGGGGGTCATGGGGTGTCCCGGGGGTGATGGGGTATGGAATGTTGGGGACGGGGCGTTATGGGGTGTCCCGGGGGTCACGGAGTATGGAATGTTGGGGACGGGGCGTTATGGGGTGTTCCCGGGGTTGTTGGGAACCTGGAATGCGGTGATGGGGTGTCCCTGGGCATGGAATGCTGGGGAAGGGGGTTATGGGATCCTTGGGGTGTCCTAGGGGTACTAAGAGCATGGAATGCTGGGAGGAGGGGGGCTGTGGGGAGTCCCTGGGATGCTGGGAGCGTGGGATGCTGGGGAGGGAGGTATGGGGTGTCCTTGGGGTGCTGGGGACATGCAATGTTGAGAAGGGGTTATGGGGTGTCCTTGAGGTGCTGGGAGCACGGAATATTGGGGAGGGGGTGCTAAAGGATGTCTCTGGAGTGCAGGGAGCATGGAATGCTCCAGGAGGGGTGGTTATGGGGTGTCCCTGGGGTGCTGGGAGCACAGAATGCTGGGGAAGGGGGTTATAGGGTGTCCCCGGGGGTGCTGGGAGCAGCCTGTGGTGGCTGGAACGGGGGTGGGACAGAGGGACTCCCACCCCCCCTTTCCTCTTCCACGCCCAGCACGGGGGTTTGGTGGTTTTGGGGTCACTGGGGAGGTGCTGGACACCCCTTCTTGGTGCTGCTCTTGTCCTGTGTCCTTCCACAGCCACTGGAAAACGGGGAACCCCACGTGTGGGGGTGGGAATGTCCCTGTGCAGCGGGGAGGGGACGGGGCAGGGGAGATAACGGGATTTTTCCGGCACCGCTTCCCCAAGGACACGACGGCACCGGAGCCAAAACAGCTCCGGCTGCCCCAAGGACGGGCGGAGCTTCCCCAGCCGGGATTATCCAGCAGCGCTGGGAGCTCAGGGCTTTGGGAACAACCCCAAATCCCACCTCTCAGCCCCCAAACCCCCTCCCCCCCACCGTGTGCTCCCGAAGGACGCCCGGGGGGCAGCCGAGTTTTCCCATGTTTTATTTGTGTTTTGAGATTACAGAGTCTTTATTGCTGATCTAATACAATCACTCAGACATTAATATTTAAAACATCCTTTTGAAATGTTACGGGTGCGACGGTTCCGTTCCCTCCCTGCTGATGACGGGTTTTGCTTTGTTATTCCTAAAAGTTCAGGACAGAATTAAATTTCCTTTATTTTATTCCTTATTTTGCTGGTGTTACCTAAAAATCTCCTTTTTTTTTTTCCTAAAGTCTTGGAAAAAAAAAAAAAAACCAAACGCGTTACATTTTAAAAAAAAACAAACAAAAAAAAGATAAAAGAAACCAAACCCCATTAACATTTAATTTAGAGATGATCACAGGATATGATTCCAGGTTGATTAGGAAAAAGCCAAGCGAGCCAAGAAGCTTTACAGGAGCAGCAGAACACGGAGAAGAGTTTGGAGAATCGAGGTGGGAAAGGCCAGGTGGGATTTTATTACTGATATTTATTTTTTTTTTCCCCTTCTTATCTACCTGGAAGATGAGATGGGCACGGAGGGATCCGTGGATCAGCAGCACCACTGGCTGTGGCAGGAGCGATGGACACGGGGCGGGAAGCGGCAGCGGGAGCTGCTCCGGAGGGTCCTGGGGGTGGAGAGGGGTTTTCCCGGGGTGGGTGGGACACCCGTTCTTCCAGGAGCTGCTCCCACGTGGCCCCACGACCGCCTGTCCCCTTGTCCAGGAGCAGATTCCAGGTGGGGCCTCTCCGGGAACTCGGAGCTGACACAGACCAGGGCGGATCCGGCGCGGGGAGAGACCCGGACGGGACGTTTCCAACGGCTCAGGGGACTCTTCCCAAAAAAAGCTCAGGATCTGGATAAAACTCGCAGGCAGAGATGACTTCAAGTCTGTGGTTCTAGGTCAGTCTGTGATGAAGCTCCTTAAGGTCTCCTCAGAGCCTTCTCAAAGCCCTCAGGTCTCCTCAGAGCCTGAACATCTTCCCAAGGTCTCCCAGAGGTCTTCCCAAGGTCTCCTCAAGGTCTCCCAAGGTCTCCAAAGGCTTTCCTTCCAGGTTTTGAGAGAATTCAGAGACAAACTTGGAATATGCTGACACAGGGAACGTTTGCTCCAAAGCTCACGACCCGAGAACCACGAGAAGAACTTGGATGCCGAGACCATAATTCCACAGTTTTTCCTTCCTTGTGCGTGAACAAGCTGCCACAAAAGGGTTTTTCATGATGGCAAAGAAGCCCAGGAGGACAAAACACGACTCTGTAGCTGATGAGAGACTCGGGAACCAAAGCAGCAGCCAGGGGATAAAGGGGTTTGTGCTCACAGGGTCGGGCAGTTTTATTTTAGACGGATTGTGTTCTCCATGTGGATAATGAAAGCGACTTGGGAAGTCACCTTGGGAAGCGTGTCAGTGCTCCAGAGGGACATCCTGGGATAAAGCAAGGAATCATGGCCAATTTATTCTCCCTCAGCTCTGATGCTTCAAGATCTGAGGCGACTGAAGGGTTTCAGTGACACTGAATCCGTGTGGAGGATCCTCCACCAGACGTCTCATCCACTCCAGGGGGGAGTTCCCAGATCCATAAATAAAGTAATGAAATAATCAACCCAGAAAAGAAAACTCCAAACACTTCCAACGAGGACTGAAACGCAGCTGGAGAAAGCCCTGGCGTGGACACGGGTCCCCCCAGCCGGGATGTCCGGGGAGCTCTGCCCGGCTCGGGAAGAGCTCCCGGTGCATGAGCAGCATCTGCCGGGGGAGCTCTTCCAGCAGCACAGCGGGAGCTGCCCCGGCCCCCCCGGGAACACGGCTTTGGTTGATCCAGAGAGGTTGGCACTGGGAACGAGAGCAGCAGGAAAACGCTGCGGAGCTGCGGGAGCGGCGCTGGGCTCTGCCCGCCCGGCTCCTCCCTGCCCGGACCCTTCCCCACAGCTTCCAGCAGCGCTAAGGCGACGTTCTCCAGAGGGTTGGTGGCACCAGCCCTCGGAAAGTTCCACAGCACGGACGAGAGGCTTCTCCAGAGGGATCCACCGGGGCGGCTCCGGACGGGCGGCAGCATCCGGCCCCTCGCCGGAGCCCGGAGAGAAGGAGGTTTTTGGCTTCGTCATCAAACAGCAGGAGAAATTCAAACCCATCCCGGGATCCCGCGCCGCTGGAAGCAGCGCTGGGACATGGAGGGGACCAACGTCGACTTCCAAGTCGGACCCCGTGGCTCCATCGGCGACAACGGACCGTCCCACGGCTCGATCCCACCAGCTCCTTCCTCATCCTCCCAGCCCCGAGAAAGAACGAATCCAAAGAGGAAAACGAAAGGAACGGAAAAGAAATCCAGCGTGTCCCAGTCCCGCGGCAGCACGAACACCAGTGGCAGAGGCCGCATGAACAGTATCCTAATTTAATAAATAAATAACCTAAAACACACGGTGACTACGGAGCAAGCCCGGCTCGAGCGTGGGAAGCTTGCGCGGGGTCATCCTGTACAGTAGTTGAGAAGAGACTTGGGGGCTTGTTCCCCGTCATTCCCGGGGATCCAGCGACAGGAACTCAATATCTGGGGAGGAGGAGAGAAAACGGGGGTTGGTGAGTGGATGGGAAGGGAAGTGAAGCTCGCCCGGCATCGACACGGTGGATTTTGGGAGGGGGAGAGGCCAAGGGAAGAACTGGTGGAGAAGGGATTTGGTCCTCGTTGCCTACAAGGGCATTTCCACCCCATGGTGGAATGTTTGAGGGGTGTTTGAGGGGTGTTTGAGGGGTCGTGGCTCTCCCTCAATGCTGGGACCCTCCCCTGATCCTGGGTCTCTGTGTGTGGGACAAACCACACTCCCCACGAGGTTGGGCTACAACACACACCAAAACCAGGCAGAGAATTAAACCAGAGGGAAGAGAATTAAACCAGAGGAAAGAGAATTAAACCAGAGGGAATTCCTTCCACGGCCGTGCGGAAGCACCAGAATTTTGCACCTATCGGGAGCAGGGAATAAAGCTCAGGATTTGGCAAAACCCACTAAACCCCAAACTGGGAGTGCTCTGGTTCTGGAGATCTTCTCTCCAAAGACCTGCCCACCAAGAAAATGCCTTTTCCTGCAGGAAAAGGATCTGGGCTTCCCCCTCCCCTGACGAGCTGATCCGTGTTTGTGCAAAGCCATTCCATTTTCACGGTGGGAATTCACGGCAGGGTTGGCCACCAACAGAAACCTGGGACGGGAAGCAACCCAGGGGCTCCTATGGAAAATTATTATTATTATTTTTGGGAGCTGAGCCCATCGGAGCAGCAGCCCCGGGGCCAAAGCTGCTCTGTGCCAACTCATCCTCAGCCCAGCTTTAAAAATAAAGCTGTCGCTGGGCCGGTGGCATCGCTCTGGCATCTGCCACGTCTGGTGACAGCTGCTGCCACCACAAAGGGCTCCCGCCCTGCCAAGGGCCCGCGGGACGACGGGAATGAGCAGCGAGCCCGTGAGATCTCAGGGGACCGGCGGGATTAAAGGCCGTGCCTCGGGGCAGGGGGGCAGGGGCTGGGGGGCAGCACCTGTAGTAGTTTGGTTTGAAGGGTCCGTTCTTGTTCAGCCCCAGGTACTTGGCCTGCTCGTCCGTCAGCTCCGTCAGGTGGGCGTCGAACGTCGGCAGGTGAAGGCTGGCCACGTACTCGTCTGGAACACCCCACGCCCCGTCAGTGTGGCCAGGGGTACGGCCACGAGTCCCCCGGGGCCGGTGCAGAACCCCCCAGACACCTCTGGCAGGTGACACCTCACCCCTGCCTCAGAAAACACGACTCCCACCACGGAGCCCATTTCTGCAGCCAAAGCGCGGCCGCGTCTTCTGGACGGGGTTCTGCTGCTGGGGCTGCTGGGTGGTGACCACAGGAGCCCCGTGGGACAACCCCCTGCACTGGGACAACCCCCTGCACTGGGATAACCCCCTGCACCGGGATGTGTCCACCTCTTTTCCCCAGGTGGGGCCAGGAAACAGCAACAAGCCCAAAACCAGCGGGAAGAACCTTCTGGAAGCCCCCGAGCTCAGCAGGGAGGGGAACAAGCAAACGCTGGAGCCACAATGCCCCAGCCAAATGACAATTCCCGTCTGTCCCACCCCCAAACCGACGAGGAGAAGGCAGGGAGCAGGGGGTTACCCATTTTTTTAGGCAGCAAATACACGTCCTGCTTGTAGCGGCCCTCGGGAGCGTTGTAGAGCTCTATCAGAGCCAAGGCCTGCAGGGAGGAGACACCCGGGTGAGGAGCTGCTGCCCTGGGGAGCAGGAGGGGGCTCTGGGCACAGCCCACCCCACTCACCTGCGTGGTGGCCGTGATGGACAGGACGAAGGTGGGGACGGTGGAGCAGCTCAGGTTCAGCAGGCGGCCCTGGGAAGGGAAAGTTGGGTGTTAACAAGGCACCAAACCCGGTTTGTGGCCCTACAGAAGGGACCAGAACCACTGGTGTGAGATGACCCTACCGGGATAAAAGGGTTTGTCACCTGCACTTGGATCCCAAGGTGCTGGCTGTACTTAATGAGTGCAAATCTCCCTGTGGGAGATACCCTGGAGTGGGATAAATTAAAACACGGGGGCTTTTCCAGGTCCCAGGAACTCAGGGGGGACCTTCTGGCTCTGCAAGTCCCTGCCAGGAGGGGGGAGCCGGGGGAAGTCGGGCTCTGCTGCCAGGGAACAAGGGACAGGCCAAGGGGAAACGGCCTCAGGCTGGGCCAGGGGAGGGTCAGGTTGGATATTGGGGAAATTCTTTCCTGGAAAGGGTTTTCCAGCCCTGGCACAGCTGCCCAGGGCAGGGGGGAGTCCCCATCCCTGGAGGGACTTCAAATCCCTGTGGATGTGGCACTTGGGGACGTGGGTCAGTGGTGGCCTTGGCAGTGCTGGCAATGGTTGGACTCCATGGAGCCAGAAGCTTTTCCAACCCAAATCATTCTGTGATTCCATGAGTCCATGGGCCAAACCTTCCAGCCAGAGGAGGGACTCCTCAGCTGCTGAGGCCCAAGGTGGTGGTTTTTGGATACCCTTCGGCTCCACCCCTTGCCCAGCCCTTGTTTTCCCCCTCCAGGAGTAGAGAACAGGTTGAAATTCCCACAGGGAACAGCTGCAATTGCTGCAACCCTGGCACTCACCTCTGCCAGCAGGACTATCCTCTTCCCATCTGGCCAGATGACATGGTCCACCTGGGACCTGACCCTCTCCCAGGTGAGCTCGGGCGTGCGCAGGCTGGCCTGGGAACGGGGTGGGACAGTTACAGCAGCACCTCCAACCCCAAACCACAGCACAGGCACAAACAGAGGCAGCAACTCCCTGACACTGCCCTGGCTCTTTGTCTCCTTCAGGCCCAGGTCCCAGACCAACGAAACCTTCAGGAACCGTTTTTATGATCTCAGCACATCAAAGCTGCAGCACCAAGTGTTGTTGCAGCTCTGGCTGAAGAGGATCTGTGTCCCCAGCAGGGCTCTGCATGGCTGTGGTCTCTCCTTTCCAGCCCAGAAATGGCTTTAAACCCAAGGGCTTGGCTGAGGAACCTCCCCTGACCTCCAGGCAGGGCTCTCCTGCTTTTCTGCTCGTCCCTAAGCACAGATGAGCAGATTTTGGGGCTGTTTGGAAAAGCACGTCGGGGTTGAACTCCTGGCTGGGTCTAACTGGTGTAATAACACAGAACTGGGCTGGAGAGGGGATTCAGTGACTCCCACGGGGAAGGAGTGAGGCTGGTGGACACCAGACACTGCCCTGGAGGCTGGAGCAGTTCATCCAGCTCACTGCATCCCTTGGGATCGCTGGAATGACGCGGACCCGTCTGCCAGTGTCTGCTGAGGCAGGGGAGGGGTTATCTGATCTCCTCCCAGGGGCTTCCTCAGGACAGACAGAGCTGGTGGTGGGTCCCTCAAACACCATCACCCCAAACACCATCACCCCAAAACGCTGCCACTCCAAAATACCATCACCTCAAAGCACTCCCACCCCAAAGCACTGTCACCCTGAAACACTGCCACCCCAAAGTACTGCCATCCCAAAACACCAAACCTCAGAGCACAGTCACTCCAAAACGCCATCACCCCAAAGCAGTGTCCCCCCCAAACCACCATCACCCCAAAGTACCAAACCCAAAACCACTGTCACCCCAAAACACCATCACCCCAAAACACCAAACCTTAAAGCACTGTCACTCCCAGACACCATCACCCCAAAACACTGTCACCCCCAAAATACCATCACTCCAAACACCATCACCCCAAAACACCAAACCCTGAAGCACCATCACCCCAAAGCACCATCACTCCAAAGCAGAGTTACCCCAAAGCACCATCACCCCAAAGCACTGCCACCCCCAAAAAACTGTCACCCCAAAGCAGTTACCCCAAAGCACCATCAACTCTGAACACCAAACCTCAAAGCACAGTCACCTCAAGCACACCGTCACCCCAAAACACCGTGTCCCCAAACCACCTTCAGCCCAAACCACCCAACCTCAGAGCACAGTCACCCCAAAGCACCATCCTCCAAATGCTGTGACCCCAAAGCACAGTCACCCCAAAGCACCATCCCCCATCCCCCAACCCCAAGCAGTCACCCAAAGCACAGTCACCCCAACTCTGTGACCCCAAAGCACAGTCACCCCAAAGCACCATCACCCCAACCCTGTGACCCCAAAGCACAGTCACCCCAAAGCACCATCCCCCAAACGCTGTGACCCCAAAGCACAGTCACCCCAAAGCACCATCCCCCCAACTCTGTGACCCCAAAGCACAGTCACCCCAACTCTGTGACCCCAAAGCACAGTCACCCCAAAGCACCATCCCCCAAACCCTGTGACCCCAAAGCACAGTCCCCCCAAAGCACCATCCCCCAAACCCCCCCAGCCCCGACCCCACACGCACCACGTCGATCTCGGTGTTGGAGTGCCCCATGTTGCACACGATGCAGCTGTTCTTCATCCTGTCCAGGTGCTCCCTGGTCACCACGTTCTTGTTCCCTGCCAGACACCGAGATCCGGGGTCAAAACCCAGCTCCCCTTCCCCTTTTGGGAAGGGCTGGAGGTGGTTTTTGGGGTGGGGTCCCCGGTTTCCCCCTCGGTACCCGTGCAGGTGATGACGATGTCGACCTGTCTGATGACCTCGTTGAGCTTCACCAGCCGGAACCCGTCCATGCTGGGGGGGAGAGAGAGGGGGGAGAAGGGGATGAGAAGCAGCAGAAACATGCCAAAAATAGAAAAAAAAAAAAGGGATTTTCAGGCACTAATTATAACTTTCTAACGCCAGACTGGAAAACAGGGCGGCAGCACCCAAAGGGCCACGGACCCTGAGCCGTTTTGGGAGTTTCTGAAGGATTTGGGACTGTTGTGGGAAGAAGTGAAAAAGAGATTTTTGGGGTTTCGTGTTTTCTGGCAAGGTCTTCTCGCCTGCAAACCTCAGTTCTCAATCCAGACGGGTTTTTTAAAAGCTGCTCCTCCTGCAAAGCACATCCAGGAGCTGCAGAATCCGTGTCGGTGCGGATTTGGATCATCCCAAAAAAACGCCCCAGCCCTGCAGATGTCTCTCCTGAACCCCGAAATCCACATTTAGGCACCTACAGAGCCTTCAGAAGTGCTGAGTCTTCCCTGCCTTCAGCAGCAAGGTGTGTTTGGATAACAGGGGCAGGATGTTTTTTTGGGATTTGTTGACAGTCCTCCCGAGAGCTCATTTCTGAGACTCTCACAAGCTGCAAAATCAGAGTTACTATAAAAAAAGCCTTTTTTTTTTTAATTGCTGTATGTCCCATTTACTGAGGCTTTTTTTTCCCCCCACTGCAAACTCCTTCCTAGAGGGGCCACACACTGGGGACAACCAAATTCCCAGTTAAGGCTGGGGGTGCTGGATGTGCCCCTCCTGAAGGTCACAGAGGAACCCAAAGTTCATCAGCTCGGCTAATTAAGCAGAGCTCGTTAGTTCTCTCCCCACAACGACCCCGTGGCCAGGAAAAGGCTGAGGGTTTGATAAGGCTCTGGGTGTTTTGGGGACTCTGCTTTCCCAGTGATGCCCCATCCCACACCTTGGGATGTGGGAGCTCCAGACCAGCCTGTCCCTGGAGGACACGAGGCCGGCGGGTGCTCGGCCCCGTGTGGGGTCCTGGTGAGGGGTTGGTGAGGGGTGGGGGGGTCACAGAACCAAAACACCCCTTGGGGAGGTGTGTGCAGGGCACTGGGAATCCCGTGTTGGCATTCCAAAGGGCACAGCTCATTCCCAACACCCCCCCAGTCCGTGTCACTGCCCTCTGGGCTCTGTGGTTGTGGTTGCACCCCCCGGCACGTGGGATACGGATAAACCAGGGGATGCTTTAGCCAGAACCCTTCTCTGCCTTAGGACGGAGCCGTGGGTCCCTCCAGGGTGCAGAGAATCCCTGGGCACCTCCCCAGCGTCCCTTTGGGAAGGGATCTCTGCCCAGTGGCTTCTGGACAGGGTTTTCCTGGGAAAAACACTCCCAACCCAGGCTGGGTGCGAGCCCTTACCAGGCCTGGAGGGCACAGATGGGGTCGATCTCCGTCACGTACACGATGGAGCCCATGGCCTTCAGAGCAGCACAGCAGCCCTTCCCAACCTGGGAAAACAGGGACAAAGGGGAGCAGGAGGGAGGTGTCGAGACACCCCAGGAGTATTCCCGAGGATGGACAACTCCGGGAAACTCTTCCGCCCTCCCCGGAGCCCTCTGGAACCCTCCTGGTGGCAGGTGCTCAATGTTTGGGGCACGGAACTCCTGGGTCTGGGGTCACCCGAGGCCTGGCCCAGGCCCAGCTCTGAGCAGAGGCACCAAAAGATCTCCACGTGCTGCTGGTTTTGGGAGTTTATTCCCCCAGAACCTCCCGGGATCCCGAACACACCAACGGGAGAGCCCAGAAGGGCCACGGAGGGTTGGAGAGCCCCGTGTGACCTTTGCCCCAACTCAGGGTCATATACATTTATGCATTTATATATTTATACACAAATTTGAATAAATTTTATGTGTATTTTTATGCAATTGTACACAAATCAATATATCTTTACATACAAATTTATATAAATGTAAGTATGTTTATACTTAAATTTATATAAATTTAATATATATTTATATACAAATTTGTATAATTTTATGTATATTTCTATATTTTATATATTTATAAACAAATTTGTATAATTTTATAGAATCATAGAATCATAGAATCGATTGGGTTGGAAAAGACCTCCGAGATCATCGAGTCCAACCCTTGGTCCAAGGGTTGTATATTTATATACAATCATATAAATCAATATATCTTTATATACAAATTTATATAAATTTATCTATGTTTATACTCAAATTTATATAAATTTAATGTATATTTGTATATTTTATATATTTATATACAAACTTGCATAATTTTACATATATTTATATACAATCACATATAAATCAATATATCTTTATATACAAATTTATATAAATTTATGTATGTTTATACTCAAATTTATATTAATTTAATGTATATTTGTATATTTTATATATTTATATCCAAACTTGTATAATTTTACATATATTTATATACAATCATATAAATCAATATATCTTTATATACAAATTTATATAAATATATGTATGTTTATACTCAAGTTTACATGAATTTAATATATATTTGTATAAAAATCCACATAAATTTAATATATTTATAAATACATTTATATACAAATTTGAATAAATTTTATGTGCATTTTTATACAATTGTATATAAATCAAAACATCTTTATATAAAAATTTATATAAATATATGTATGTTTATACTCAAGTTTATATGAATTTAATATATTTGTATAAAAATCCACATAAATTTAATATATTTATATATACATTGATAAGTTTATATATTTATATACAAATTTATATAAATTTTATGTGCATTTTTATACAGTTGTATATAAATCAATATATCTCTATATACAAATTTATATAAATTTATGTATGTTTACACTCAAATTTATATAAAGTTTATGTATGTTTATATACATTTATATAAATGTAAGTATGTTTATACTCAAATTTATATGAATTTAATATGTATTTATATACACATCCATTTAAATTGGGATTTGTAAATATTATTTAAATATTATATAAATATTAATATATTTATATATACATTGATACATTTATATATTTATATACAAATTTGAATAAATTTTGTGTGTTTTTATACAATTGTATATAAATCAACCTATCTCTATATACAAATTTCTATAAATTTATGTGTGTTTACACTCAAATTTATATGTTTTATGTATGTTTATATAAGATATAAATGAATAACTTCTCTTCCTTGACCACACATCAACATGCAACGCTGTGCAGAACCTCTGAATGTTGTAATATTATATTAAATATAATATATATAATATATAAATATATATATATAATATATATAATATATATTAATATAATTATTAAATATATATTAAATATAATATATAATATAAAAGATACATCCCTGTGTGATGTATTAATCCTTGGATATGTCAGTATTTAGACATTAAAGATACTCTGAATATTCTGAATATTTAATCCTCGTGCCAGTTAAGATCCAGCTTTGGCATCTCCTCAGTAACAAAGAAATACACTGGCAATTAGGAAAACCTTCGGTTTTTGGCCAAGCCCTCAGGTTTGAAGGTGCAGGTGCAGACAAATCCCCGAGGATGGAAAAATCCACGTGGGAAAAGCCACGTGCCAAGGATTCCCCCCTCCTGGAAAACGGGCCCCTCTTACCTCCCCATAGCCACAAACCACCACCTGCTTCCCTCCAAACATCATGTCCGTCGTCCTCTTAAGGCTGAGGGAGGAGAAAAAACCACACTTAAAACCAGCCCCAAGAGCTAATCCCGGGATCAGCTGCTGCTCCTCCCCAACCCCACGGCTGGGTCCTGCACCCCCGAGAATTCTGGGGCCAGAGGAGACCCCAAACCCACCTAAAAACTGACTTTTCAAACTGACTTTTCCCCTTTTTCCCCAGCGAGACGCAACAAACAGGACACAGTTTGGGTTTGGAGCCCTTTTTCTGTTGCTCGTTATTTGCCGACCCTTTGTTTTGCCGCTCCCAAAATGCTGGAAACCTTCGGCAAAACCACTTTTTCTTCATTTTTGTGGCTCAAAATCCCACACAGAGCAGCACAGAGGCAGCAGGGAAGTGGTAACTCACTGCCAGGATCCCAGTGCTTCCCACAAATGAAGCTCCCCCTTCCACTCCCTTTCCTTCTGGTTTCTCCCTAAGAGTGTCCTACATTCCAGGCTATTTTTAGCACAGGAGTAAATAGGTTAGCAGTGCAGGGAAGGTGAAATTCCCTCACTTTTCCGAGACAATTTGGATAAAACCCACAGCAGATTTAATTGCACCTCTGCTCACACCTCCCTTGACCCAGTTTTAGACGCCTGGGCCAGACTTAGCCCAAATCCCAACTCACCCCTCAAGGGGTTGCTGTAGAATCCCAGGATATTTTGGGTGGGAAGGGGCCTTAAAGCCCATCCAGTGCCACCCCCTGCCATGGGCAGGGACACCTCCCACTGTCCCAGGTTGCTCCAACCTGCCCTTGGACACTTCCAGGGATGCAGGGGCAGCCACAGCTTCTCTGGGCAACCCATTCCCATGTTTTACCATCCTCATTTCCCCCATTATTGCTTCCAGTGCCTTGGAAAACACTGCTCCACATTACAGCTTCCAGTGCCTTGGAAAACACTGCTCCATGTTACAGCTTTATGGATTGTTCATGGAATATGTCCCAGCTGAACTGCAGGAGCAAAACTTGTCCTGACCTCGCTTGGCTCCGACAGAATTCGGCGGTGGAAGAGGCGAGGACACAGACACCCAATTCCACCAAAATAAAGGGAATAAAGAGGTGGAGAGAGCAAAAAAAAAAAAACCAACCAAAAAAGATCCCTGAGGATAAGAAAAATGGAAACTAGAAAGGCAAAGAAGGTGGTGAGGAAGCTGCTGCTCCACTCACACACCCCACGGACACAGGCGGCTTTTGTCCCAACCCACAAAGGCCGGAGGGACGGGAAGGAGCCACATGTGAGGAATTCTGAAGCAGAGCACAGGTAATGAAGGGTCTTTGTTCTGCTCTCACACACCAGCTGGGCTCAAACGAGCCGAGTGGCAGCAGGGCAGAGCCGTGGGCACCATTCCCCGTGGGATGGGGGTGTCCCGTACGCACCCGTCCAGGATGGACTCCCGGCAGCAGTACAGGTTGTCAAACTTCTGCTTCGTCACCGAGTCGTTGACGTTCATGGCTGGGACACAGAGCTTGCCTGCCTTGGACAGCTGGTACAGCCTGCATGGATACGGGAAAACATGGCCTCAGGGGGAAAACATTCCCCTGGGAAAACACGGCCTCAGGGGGAAAACATTCCCCTGCACTCTGCTGGGGGGTTTGGGTGGGAAGGGACTTAAAGAGCATCTCATTCCACCCCTGCCATGGGCAGGGACACCTTCCATCAGCCCAGGTTGCTCCAACCTGGCCTTGGACACTTCCAGGGATCCAGGGGCAGCCACAGATGCTCCAGAAAATTCATTCCAGGGCCTCCCCACCCTCCCAGCCAGGAATTCCTTCCCAATATCCCATCTAGCCCTGCCCTCTGGCAGTGGGAAGCCATTCCCTGTGTCCTGTCCCTCCATGCCTTGTCCCAAGTCCCTCTCCAGCTCTCCTGGAGCCCCTTTAGGCCCTGCCAGGGGCTCTCAGCTCTCCCTGGAGCCTTCTCTTCTCCAGGGGAACCCCCCCCCAGCTCTCCAACATCAACCTGCCCTCCTAATTCCAAGCATGGACTCGACTCCCAGCAGCAGCAAAACCACTAAAAATGAATCCAAACACGTCACTGGGGCTTCAAAGAGCATCTGAAAATGTCCCTGCTCCAGCCCATGGGAAGAAGAACATGCTTGGAAATGTCTTTTGCCCATATTGGGAATGATTCCAGATACTAAAAATACCATCAGTCCTTTTCCTGACCCCACTGGCTGCAGACCTGAATCCACTTCCCTCTTTCAATATTTCATTTCCCCGTTTCAAGGGCTGCCTGAACCTCTGGCCAAGCTCTCAGGCAGCTCCAAGAGCTGCAGCCAAACCTTTCTCCCTGCAAAAATAGGGCAAAAAGCAGAGGCTGCTGCTCTTCCCCCCAGTTCCCTGTTTTCTGGCACCTGTGACAGGATTAACTCCCCTGGGAAAGCCACTTCTCCCACCACACCTCTGCTCCTGCCATGGACTGATGGGTTTCACTGAGTCATCTCTGAGGTCCTCCCTTTGTGGGACCCCACCCCGACTGGAGGACCAGTTCCTCTTCCCAAATCTCACTTCTTCCCAGAGATTTAGGTCAGGACTACACTTCTGGCTTTGCCCTCAGCCCACCCCTTCTTGTGCAACGCCCTCAGCCCTTCCTCCTCCCTCCCCAAAACAAGCTGAGGAACCATTCCTCCCACTTCCCAGGGGGAAAACAAGGCCTGGTGCACCTTCCCACCCACCCAGCACCCGGGAGGTGCTTCTGCTCCCACCCTGGAGTTCAGAGCAGCAGCTCCAAGCGGGAACTGAGGAGGGATTTCAAAGAGCTCTCCTGGAAAGCCAAGCCCAGGCTGAAGGAAAAGCTCAGCCCACGTGTTGGGGGTTCACCCCTCAGGTGAGCTGGGGTGTCTCCTGGCACGGGGGCCTTTGGCACCAGCGCCCTGAGGTGTTTCTGTCCCAAATTCTCCTGCCAGCCCAGCCCATCCCGTTACCTGTGGACTCCTGTCACACTCTCCTCCACTATCCCCTTGATCTTCTTAAACATGTTGGGATATTTCTTGTAGATCCAGTGAGTGAGATCTCCCCCATCATCCAGGATCTGGAAAGGAAACAACCCCAGTCAGTGCTCTGAGGGTCCAGTGAGGCCTCCAGAACCCAGAGAGATACCAGGGATAAATCATTCCATGTTCTGGCACCTCAAACCCCACAGTGTGAGCCAGGTGGGAACACTCTGGTTGAGCATTCCAAGCGGGAATGATGCTTCATCAATAATGTCCTGGAGAGGCAACAGCTCAGACAAACACAGCAAACCTTGGTGTTAATGAAGAGAACTGAGGAATTATGGAAAGTGGCTGTGCAGGCTCCTCTCTCCCTGTCTCCCAGAAGCACAGATGGAAAAACCTCTGAACTGGGCAGAGCCATCAGCTCTTCTGATGTGACTGGGAATGGAGGAGGAGGAGGAGGATGGAGAAAGAGCAGGATGTAAAAGGAGGAGGGTGAAGTGCCAGGGAACTGTGCTGACCAGACTGGCTGAGAGCTCATCACCCCAGGGCATGACTATCATCATCACCATCCTCCTCACAGTCACTGCCATCATCATCATCATCATCACCACCACCACTACCATCACCCTTTTTGCATGTTCCCCACTCCCACACCAAAGAATTCTGCCTGCATCACCATCACCCTCCTCTTCCTCTGTGCATGTTCCCTACACTAACATCAGACCTTATCATTATTATCCTCCTCATCCCCTTCTTTGCCTGTTCCCTACAGCTCCTGGTGTGGCCCAGGGGTGCCCTAAAATCCACGTGCCAACCCTGGGCAGAAGCACCTCCACTCGTTGGTCACTGGTGGAGCTTGGCTGGGCCCCTCCTGCTGAGGGTCTGCAGCTTTCCCAGGAAAAATGAACACTCCCACACGTGGCAGAAGCCCCATTTGGGCACAAAGGTGACATTCCTGAGCTTTGCCATGACACAACGTGGTGGCTTCTCATCCATGGACAGAGAGTTCCTTGGAAATATTATGTATTTTCACCACCTTCTCCTCTCAGAATGGCTGGATTTGCCACTGATGTGCAGCAGCTGCTCCTCCAGAATGTCTGGGAAGCACAGGCAGAATGTTTAGGAGCATCCATGCAGATCCAGCTCTTGAGTCTCCGGGGCATTCCCAGCTCCATGTTCCATCCACAGGGAAGCAGAGGCAGGCGAGGGTTAAGCAGGCTGGGCAGCTCTGCCGGGCCAGCCCAGGTAGGAATCCAGCAGCCTGGAACTGAGCAGCCTGGCTCCCAGGACATCTCCATTTCATTAATCCCCATTTAATAGGGCACATAATCCTCTTCTAAGAGAGAACTCTGGGAGCTGGAAGTTTCCTCTTTCCTGGGAGAGCAGGGGATGTAAAACCCCCAAGCTGAATCCACGGGGGAACCGGTTTTGAGGGAAGGTCACCTCTGTGTGGCAGCCCCGACCATCCAGCAGCACAGCCCCACAATCCTGCAGTTTTCCCAGCTTTATGCAGGTTGTTTGCCCTCATTCCCATTCTTCCAGGCAGTTTTATTTTTTGGGGAGGGGAAAAAAGCCTTTATTTGAGGTGCAGATGATTTCTCCAGCAGAAAAGCAGCTCCTCCAGGTGGGAACCTTGGTGGGTGTTTCTCTCTCCAAGCAGAACAAATTCCCATTGCTGTCCCTTCACCCTCCCTCAGCCCTTCCATCTCCTGTTTTCTCCAACAGAAAAATCTCTGGCTCTTCCAGGAAAGAAACTGGTGTCTCCAGGTGCCATTTCACCACCTCTTAAACCCACCCAAGGCCCCGTTACCACCTCGTCTCCCCCTGTTCCCTTCCCAGCTTCCCAAACCACAGCACGTGGCTGATCCTGCCCAAACCAAGTGGATTAAAACTGCCCAGGATTAGCTCAGCAGCGTGCCTGAAAACAATTTGCTGCAGAAAATGAGTGAGGAAAACACAAGGAGATGGCAGGAGGGAGTGGGGGGAGATGGCACCGAAATCCCCCCGGAGGCAGCGCGGTCCTGGATCAGGGAACCAACCTCCCAGTGTTGCAGATTCCGTATTTTTCAGGAAAAAAACCCTCCTCTCTGAGCCATTCCTGTCCAGACAGAGCTCCACTCTAAAGGTCTGGATTCTCAGAGCCCTCCTCTGAAGGTCTGGATTCCCAAAGCCCCACTGTGAAAGCCTGTGGTTCCCAGAGCACTCCTCCTGAAGGTCAGCCCCACTGTGAAAGCCTGTGGTTCCCAGAGCACTCCTCCTGAAGGTCAGCATTCCCAAAACCCTGATTCCCTGAAGTTCAGGAATCCCAGAGCCATTCCATGAAGGTCTTTGATTCCCAGAGCCATCCTCTGAAGGTCTGGATTTCCAAAACCCTCCTCTGAAGGTCAGAATTTCTGGGTGGTGAGGCCCTGGCCCAGGTTGCCCAGAGAAGCTGTGGTTGCCCCTGGATCCCTGGGAGTGTCCAAGGCCAGGTTGGGATAGCAGAAGGTGTCCCTGCCCATGGCAGGGGTGGCACTGGATGGTCTTGAAGGTCCCTTCCCACCCAAACCATCCTGTTTCCATGGTTCCACACCTCTCACACCTGTTCTTCACCCTGTTTCCAGTGTCCCATTCCTTATCTCTAAAGTCCAGCGTGCAAATCTCTGGGAATAGCTCCGAGGCACTTGGTGCTCTCCTCAGTTATCCCTGTGCTCCAGAAGCAGCTCTGGGAGCAGTTCTGATGGCTGGAGACACGTCAAGGGCTCTGAGCAGATCCTGGGAAAGCAAACCGTGTGTTTTCTGGAATGCTGAGTTGTTCAAACAGCGACGTTTTGGATGGGAAGTGATCCCTCAAAGACAGTCTAGACTCCGACTCGGAGCTTGGGGGTGGATTTTTTTGACATTCCCTGTTCTTCTCAAAGGTGACAGAGAGGGAATGAACAGGTTTGGCTGGAAGGAACAAAAATCCCACCTCAAAGGAGCCGATACCGGCAACAAACCAACCCGGAGCCGCGTTTATCTGCCACCTTCCACTGCTTCCCACCTAATTTAGATCACAAGCTCCAGGGCTCCAAAGCTTTGGGGAAACATGATGAAAACAGCACATTTGACAGCTGAAAATTATTCCACTCACGTAGTCCCAGGTTCTCTGTTTTCCCTGGAAACAAGGGCAGGATAAAGCAGCGGAGCAGAGCTGGGTTACCTGAGGTTTTGTGCTCCTGCAGTAAGAGCAGGTTCAAAGTGTGGAAATCACCTGAAAATCTGAGTGTTGTTCTGGAACAGAGGCTTTGCTTAAGTAAGAAAAATCCCATCAACCAAAGGTGAGAATTTAATGGCGAAAAGGATGAAACCTCGTCTCAAAAAATACTGATTTTGAGCCATTTTCGGTGGGTGCATTAAATGAGTTCGGTTTAAACCGCAGCAAGACACTCTGGAATCAAACTAAGCACCCAGAAAACTTTGCACTAAGGCAGCTGTGCTAATTTACAAAGGAGTTCAACAAAACCTTGCTTGGTGGGCAAGACCCAGAAGCCATTTAACCCACCTTCTCCCCGACCCCACAGCTGGGAGAGCGGGAGAAGTTCATTTCCCACAGGACACAGCTCATTGCAAAGCACTTGGAAGGTAAGGGAGGTGCTGGCACTGAGCTTTGAGTGCTAAGTCAGGTCTAAATTAACAAGGAAAACACCAGGCAGCACTAAACCTGCCTCCTTCTCCTCCTCCTGCTGGCCCTGCACGGGTCCATCCCCAGAGTCACCCCCTGTGCCCCAGAGGATCATCCAAACCCTCCTGGAGCTCTGGCAGCCTTGGGGCTGTGCCCACTGCCCTGGGGAGCCTGGTCAGTGCCAACCACCCTCTGGGGGAAGAACCTTTTGCTGAGATCCAACCTGAGCCTGCCCTGGCACAGCTCCAGCCACTCCCTGGGTGCTGTCCCTGGTCCCCCCAGAGCAGAGCTCAGTCCCTGCCCCTCCCCTTCCTACAGAAAATAATCCAAATGGCTCCAAACCTGCTTTCCATGGCACCCAAACTGTTCTAAACTAATCCCTACAGATACATATATTTATAAACACCTCAATCCCAGGGGGATCCAGGACTGGGGTGCCCCCATCCCCAAGGCCATGAGGGGTGTCCCCAAAAGCTCTGAAAGGGTCTGGGACAGGAACACCCCAATCCCTGGGGGGTTTGAGACTGGGATACCCCCATTCCCAAGGTCCTGAGGGATGGGGACCAGGGGGATCCAGGACTGGGGTACCCCCATTCCCAAATCCCAGAGGGGTTGGGACACCCCCATCCCCAAAGGCCAGAGGGGTCTGGGACAGGGGCACTCCCATCCCTGGGGGGTTTGAGACTGGGATACCCCCATTCCCAAAGTCCCTGGGAGTCCAGGACCAGGAACCTCCATCCCTGAGGAGTCTGGGACAGGGACACCCCCATCCCCAAGGTCCCTGGGAGTCCAGGACCAGGAACCTCCATCCCTGGGGACTCTAGGACAGGGACATCCCCATCCCTGGGAGGTTTTAGACTGGGACACCCCCATTCCCAAGGTCCCTGGGGGTCCAGGAGCAGGAACCTCCATCCCTGGGGACTCTGGGACAGGGGCACCCCCATCCTTGGGGGGTTTGAGACTGGGATATCCCCATTCCCAAGGTCCCTGGGGGTCCAGGACCAGGAACCTCCATCCCTGGGGAGTCTGGGACAGGGACACCCCCATCCCCAAAGCCCTGAGGTCACTCAGAGTCAGTTCACTCTCATCCACCCCGAGGGACCCACGAACCAGAGCTGGGCCCCCCCGGCTGTGACCCCACGGTCACCCCACTCACCATGTTGGGCTGCCAGCCCTCCACGTTGACACAGCGGTCGATGCACCACCAGAAATCATCCTCAGACTCTCCCTTCCAGGCAAAGACAGGGAAACCTGGCACAGAGAGAGGGAGATGTGCCAGCACGGCCTTGGCAAATCCCGCGGGATCGGCCCTTCCCACAGCCCCGCTCCCCACACCACCACAGTCCTGGCTGAGCTTTCCACATCCCCCTTCCAGGAGAAGCTTTGGACACACACACTGAATGCACACACTGAAGGCAGCACTGGGAGTTGGCTTTAGCCTTCCTCACTTCCTCCTCTCCCTCAGGAAAGAGCTGCACCCACCACCAGGCCAGAGGCCGACACGCTCCAAACGATAATATTTATTTCCAAAACGAATGTTTCCCTGAAAATTAGGTGTCATACCCGCTTGTTAGGCATGTCAGCCCACTAATTTATTAATGAATTAATGATTTATTTGAATATATTCTGATTTATGAGCAATCAGGACTGAGCTTCAGGGATTGAGACCTGGTAACGGGCAAGATGGTGGGTTTGGCTTCTGGGTCTTCCAGGTCTCCAGGTCAAACTCTTGGCCTTACCCAGGTTAAAACCCCCGGCCTCATCCAGGTAAATCCCCTGAGCTTATCCAGGTAAAACCCCTGGCCTTACCCAGGTAAAATTCCAGACCTTATCTAGGTAAAATTCCAGACCTTACACAGGTAAAACCCCTGGCCTTACCCAGGAAAAATTCCAGACTTTACCCAGGTAAAACCCCTGATCTTACCCAGGTAAAACCCCTGAGCTCACCCAGGTAAAATTCCAGACTTTACCCAGGTAAAACCCCTGAGCTCACCCAGGTAAAATTCCAGACCTTACCCAGGTAAAACCTGTTTTCAGTCTCCCAGGTGAGCACCAACACGCTCAGCTTCTTTTTTATGAATCATTTCCCCCCTCAAAGTCTCTCTTTCACCCCTTTTAGCCAAAGTTCTGACTCAAATTTACAGCATTTAAATCAAATTTAGCTTTGTTTCTCTTAACAAAATAACTTCCAGCTTCAGGTAGCCCACTCAGCTCATTAAGGGCATCACCATTATTTTGTACCACGTCCTTTTATCCTCCAGATTAAAACCATTCCAAGGTTTCCAGAGCACTGGAAGGGATGGATTGTGTGCCATTACCTCGTACGGGTTTATTCTAAACCAAAAATAATTAAGGGGGAAAAAACTCTAAGAGGTGAAAAACGAGATAAAACCAAAGAAATCCTTTTATAAAAGTCAGGAGTAACGAGGAGGGAGGTGTTTCCTACCACTCTCAGCGAGGGCAGCAGCCACTTCGTTGAGGGTGGAGTAGATGTTGCAGGCGGCCCATCGGCACTGGGCACCCAACGCTCCCAGAGTCTCCATCAGCACCTGGGAACCAAAAAACCCCGGGAAGATCAACACAAGGAGCAACACACAGCTGGGGGGTTTGTTTGCTGTTCATGGGAAAGCTTCTGGGGGGGGTCTCTGAAGTTGGTTTTAAGCTTCAAGGCCAGGCTGGACGGGGCTTGGAGCAACAGCGGGACAGCGGGAGGTGTCACTGGACGGGCTTTAAGGTCCCTTCCCACCCAAACCATTCCATGGTTTTATGATTTTTGGGGGCCTCTGAAGCGGGTGTTAAGCTTCAAGGTCAGGTTGAACAAGGCTTTGAGCAACTTGGTCTAGTGGAAGGCATCCCTGCCCATGGCAGGGGGTGGAACTGGATGGGCTTTAAGGCCCCTTCAAACTCAAATCATTCCAGGATTCAGTGATTCTCTGGGACCCCTGAAGCTGGTTTTAAGCAGCATCAGGTTTGTTAGAAAGTTGCACAGAAAAGAATTTTTCAGTTAATTTGCATTTGTGAAACAATTTTAAAAGGCTGACATAAATAAGAACTTCAAAGTATATATTTTTATATATATATATATATATATGTATGCGTAGAGATTTCACTCAGCAAAGTCCCAAATCCAGCCAGGAGTAACCACTCCCGAGGGGAATTCCCAGCCCCTCGTGCCCCCATTGACCCCCTGGGGGCCGTTGCAGGGGCTCAGCAGTGGCCCAGCCCCGTGTGGGGTTGGGGGCCGGCCCTCACCGCGGTCTGGGCCGTGATGTGTGTGCAGCCCACGATCTTGGCCCCCGCCAGCGGCTTCTCCCCCTGAGCTCTCTTCCTCAGAGCCATCAGCGCGGGCATTTCTGCAGGGAGAAGGGAAAACAGGCTCATGAATGTGATGGAAAGAGGGATGAGGACAAGGACAAACAGCAGCACCACTCCCTGCCCCACTGTCTGGTGTTCCCATGAACTTGTACAGCTGGGGCAGCTTCCAAAGAGGCCAAAGCCTTGTGAGCAAGCCCAAACAAGTGAAAAGGACCCAATATCCCTCTGGATTTTCTCCCTGCTATCTCGGATGAAGCACCATCCCATGTTCAAATTTCTACCTGCAAGTTCCCAAGTGAGGCTGGAGGAAAATCCGTTTCAGACTGAGGAGAACTTGGGACTTCCTGCCCTGCCCCTCTTTTCCCGTGTCCCTCCAGTTTCCTAACCCCTTTACTATGGACTTCTGGAGATAATCAAGCTCAAATTTATTTGATGGATTTCATCTTCTCTACCGATTTTAACAAAACATGTTGGACTGTAGAACAGCCCTTCAGGAGTTGTTTGGTTGGAGCTCCTCGGCACAACCCCGTAACTCCTCTCCCGTCCCACAACGCCCCACCAAAGCTCTCCCATCTCTAACAGGCATCGGGAACTCACCGACACACCGAGCCTCAGAAGGGGATCTGGGGGAAGGAAGGACCCCAAAAGATGACCCAGGACGAGGTGGAGCTGGAGGGAGGTGCCCCATGTACCTTGCTCAGCGATCTCGATCTCCCGGCGCCCGAACTCGGCCTGTTTGATGTTCTTCACGCAGAAATCGCTGCTGCCTTTGGAATTCTTCTGCTGCTTGTCCCGGGGGGAGGTCTCATCGTCGGAGCTGTCCGTGTAGGAGGCAGCTGGAGGGGGGAGAGGAGGTCAGAAACAGGACAAGACATTCCCTGGGGCCACAGCACCTGTGGATGATCCATGGCTGAGCGTGGCCGTGGATGTGTTTCTCCATGTGCAGGTGCCACCTCCCTCCGTCCTCAGCTGGGATCTGCCCTTCTCCCACAGGGACCATCTCCCCAGGCAGTTTTACCTGGGGTGAATTCCTCACTCTTATCTCCTCCTACTTCAACACCACACCAGAGGTAATTAACAGTGCCCATGTCCTCCACGGGCCCATCTCCGCAGCCTTCTCCCATCTCTCTTCCCAAAATTTAAGCCTTTACAGCTCTGAGGGAGCCACCAAAACCACCCAGGACTGTTTCAAGTCCTTCCCAAGTTGTAATTTAAGGCAGCACAGACACAAGGCCCTATTCCATTCCAAACAGCATCCTGGTGAAGGCTGTGAGTTGATGATTATCCAGGTATGGTGGCATTCCCAGTCCTTGGATTTGCTCAGTTTGGATGCTCCTCAGTGAGGACCAGGAGCTGCTGCTTGGGAGGATCACAAGGAAACTCGTGAGGAAGAAACTCCTTCCTTGGGAGGATGGTACAACACTGGCATGGACTGGCCCCAGAGGTGGTGGCTCTCCATCCCTGGGGGACTTCAGGAATGGGTTAGAGAGCCGTGGATCCCCTGATCCCACATGGATCATGGTCCCACGGAATCAGATTAAGCTGCAGGTTTAAGACCAGGTGTGGATGTGTCAAAAACTATCTTCCTTTCCTATCAGTGCCCTCCAAACTCCTGGTTATGGAACTGGACTATGGCAGACACGTGGAGGTGCATGGAGAAGCCCTTCATGGAATTAGAAATCCCCCTTTCCACTTATTTTGATGACTAAAATCACGCGTGCTTATATAAAATCACATCCATTTTCAGTCTGAGTCACGATGAATTAACCACCACTTCTGCTTCCACTTGGGATCAGCTGAGGAGATTATTTGTGCCATGTTTTCCCCTGGAATATGTCCCTACCGTGGGAAACCAAACCTCTTCCATCTTTTAGGACAGGCACCAGCAGTCAGAGCAACGTGATGAACCAGAAACCATTGCTCCTCTTCCCTTTCCAAAGGACCTTCCCAGGACCCAATTCAAAAGCCTCATTCCCTGTTAAACTGCCTGGAAGTTTTACTCCAAGCCTTTACTCCCCAGATCACGTGGAACTTGTAAAATGAACCCGAGACCTGTCGTCCAACTCAGTGTTCCACAAGAGGATCTCCTTGCTTGGACAGCCTTATCCATGGCACCAAATGGTCTGTTCCAGAGGAGGGTCTCCGTGGTGGAACAGCCCAATCCATGACATCATATTATCTGTTCCAGAGGAGAATCTCCATGGTGGAACAGCCCAATCCATGACATCATATTATCTGTTCCACAGGAGGATCTCTGTGCTGGAACAGCCCAATCCATGACATCACATTATCTATTCCAGAGGAGGATCTCCATGGTAGAACAGCCTGATCCATGACATCATATCTGTTCCAGAGAAGAATCTCCGTGGTGGAACAGCCCAATCCATGACATCACATGATCTGTTCCAGAGGAGTTTCTCCATGGTAGAACAGCCCCATCCATGACAGCCTTGGATGTTGGCCAGTGTCATGGATGGCTCCAAATGATGGACACCCCACACCCTGACGAGCCCTCTGTCCTCCCCAGCACCACAGGCACAGTTTCCAGGAGGGAATGCTCTACAGCCCAAGGGATTTGTTCTCCCCAGTGCTCAGGACAGATTCCCCATTTCTACCCCAGTCAGGAATTAGGCAGCAGGAAGGGTGAGGAGTTCTTACACTGTCATGGGGAGATGGTTGAACCCGTGGTCTCCACCACCCTCCAGAGCTCCCAGGGAGCTTTCCAGGGGCATCCAGACCTGAAGTTGTGACTGATTCTGACAGCCCCTGCAGAGGAACTGGAGCAAAGAAAACCTCCCTCTGCCCAGAACTGCTCTGGTGGCATTTTCACCCCAAAAAAAACCAAGGAGTTAAACCCTCCACCAAGGAGTTAAACCCTCCACCCCACCCCGGCCGTGGGTTTGTCTTTCCTGCAGGACCCAACAAGGTGGTTCCTGTCCCTTCTGGCTCCTGTGAAGCACTTGGATGATGCCAAGGAAAAAAAGCTTAGTGCGGTTCTGTGGGAGCACCAGGCTCCCCGGGACCCACACGGATCCTGAGCCGCTTACGGGGGGAATTAGGCATTGCTGGAATTCCTCTGGGAAGGCTCCATCCTCAGCGGGGTGTGAAAGGCAAGTCCAACCCTGCAAACCCCCCCCTGGAGCCCCGAATTCAGGGTGTTCACAACCCTGCAGGCCCAGGAGCCCGGATTAATAACAAAAGGGCACCTTATATAAAACCAAACTCTCGGACAGCAAGGACTCCAGAAGGGAGGATTAATTAGTTCAAGGAGGATTATTTCCTTGAAGACAGTTAATCTGAGTGGAGGTTTCTTTAAAACCAGCCATTTTTGGTTCTGGGGGCCGAAAGCAATTTTTTTATCAAAAAAAAAACAACAAACAACCCTGCCTAGAGTGGCCAGATTTTCTTGTGTAGATTGTTCTTTACTGCTAAATACATATAATATATAAAAGTGTTTACAGAACTATGGCAATTAAATGAATATCATTAGTGTAATAGAACAGCATAATAATTTGTAACAGTCAGTTTTGCCTCTGCTCTTCTGTCAAATGAAAAACAAACACAGAAAGGAAAGGATTCCTGTCACCTGGAAATATCCAATTAGCTGATGGATAGGCAGCCTCCTAATTATCATCTCAACTCACCCAAAAGTTGATTAATGAAAACTCCCTGCCTGGGGTTGGCAATTCTGCAGAGCTGTGAAGCATTTTAATATAAATTATATTATGTGTATTATGTCTTTGTATCTCTGCCCAGACAGGCTGGGGACTCCAAATCCTTGGAAGTGTCCAAGGCCAGGCTGGACAGGGCTTGGAGCAACCTGGGCTAGTGGAAGGTGTCCCTGCCCTGGCAGGGGGTGGCAGAGGGTGGGCTTTAAGGTCCCTTCCCACCCAAACCATTCCATGATTTGTATATTATTTGCAGATGCATTGAACTCCATCCACGTGTGCCTTTTCCAACTCAGGATATTCCACGAATCCACGATTTCAAATGGAACAACACGAAAGCAGCAGCAGGTCTCAGGCACTGTTATCCCATGGAAAAATGCTGGGGAGAAAAGGAGTGACCTGCACCCGTGTCCTAACCCAGCAAAGCCCAGGTCAGAGCCTAAACTCAGCCAAGCTTAGCTTTGCTAATATTTCAGGTGAGGATCCACTCAGAGCTGCTAAAACTGGCAAAATTTAGGGCAAAAAAGGGACAACCTGCCCCTGTCACAGCCCAAATAAAGACAAACCTGGCTGCTTCTCTATACAGCCTTCCCAAAGTTCTGCAGCAGCACGAGGGTGAAGGCAGGGGCCTTGAATTCCAGCTATTCCTGTTCCAATCCCACCCACAGAAGGTGGACATGGTGTGTCACACACACTGCTGAGTGTCTGAGCATTCAAAGCTGGGCTCCTGTAAACCACCTGGTCCCCCCAAATCTTTGCTGGAGCAGATAATGACCTGAATTTGGCAGAAAGGGAAAGGACAGTTTGTGAAATTGAGGTAAAATTTAAGTAAAATTGACCCAAACACCCCCTGGACTCCAGAGCAGAGCTCCCAGCTCGGTGCCCTTCCCTGGCTGGCAGCAGCAGATGTTGATAAAACACCCGAGTGTGTCCTGGGGCGAATAAATCGCTCCCAAACGGGGCAGAAAACAATTAATTTCCCCAGTGAGAAAAATTAATCCCTTTAAATGAAGTGGAACAACCACAGAAAACCAGCGGCTCGTGGCAGATCCGGGTAAGAGACTTGGAATTCTAATTGGAAGAGGGGGATCAGCACCGTTGGTTTTGTCATTCCTTGGACTTCACAGCAACTGAGAGGTGACGTTTTCACGTTCCACAGTGTCTCTGCTGGTTTGTCACGGAATCATGGAATGGTTTGGATTCGAAAGGAGCTTAAAGATCCTGCTGTTTCATCCCCCTGCCATGGGCAGGGACACCTCCCGCTAGCCCAGGTTGCTCCAACCTGCCCTTGGACACTTCCAGGGACCCAGGGGCAGCCACAGATGCTCTGGGAAAGCTATCCCAGTGCCTCCCCACCCTCATTATTCCAGTTTTGATGGGCAGGAAGAGCAAGAACCCACAGCTGTTTGCACACCCATCCTTGCATCACTGCAACAGCACTGGCACTGCCCTAGAATTTTGGACCAGGATGCTGGAAAACTGCCTTCCCAGAAGGTCTCAGGGAAGAGCTGCTTGGTTTAGGGTCAATTTTTCACTCACATCCATCACTTCCAAACCTTGAGACCTCCCTGCACTTCGTGGGTGTGCAGGGAAGGGAAGGGAGCTGGGAAGGGTCTGGAGCAGCAGGAGGGGCTGAGGGAGCTGGGGGGGCTCATCCTGGAGCAAAGGAGGCTCAGGGGGGACCTTCTGGCTCTGCAAGTCCCTGCCAGGAGGGGGGAGCCGGGGGGGGTCGGGCTCTGCTGCCAGGGAACAAGGGACAGGCCAAGGGGAAACGGCCTCAGGCTGGGCCAGGGGAGGGTCAGGTTGGGGCTGAGGAGGAATTTGTTGCTGGAAAGGGTGGGGAGGCCTTGGCAGGGGCTGCCCAGGGAGGTTTGGAGTGCCCAGCCCTGGAGGGATTTCCAAGCCCTGTGGATGTGGCACCTGGGGACGTGGGTCAGTGGTGGCCTTGGCAGAGCTGGGGAATGTTTGGACTCAATGTCTCCGAGGGCTTTTCCAACCTAAACAATTCTGTGACTCTTCCCCTCCATCATCACCTCTCTTCTCCTCATGCTTCTTCTTTTCCAGCTTTTTCCCATCCCAGGAGAACTCAATGGGTTGTTCAGACTGTGCTACTGTTCAGTCTGAGAAGGGGAACAACAAAGACCAAGATGTTCCAATGGGATTTATCCCTCCATCCTGCAGCCACCCTGGGAACTGAAGTCTTCCATCCTGGCTGCCAACCTCCCGCTTCCAGGAGGAGGGAAATTCAGTATTCCCACAAGCTCATTAATTGACCCTGCTGATGCTTTAGCAGGAGATGGTGACTGCAAGGAGCACTGGGGAATTCCCCAAAGATATTCCAAGCTCTTCCAGCTGTGAACCAGGAGAGAACACGATGACACAGGCCAGGCCAAGCAGAACAACAAGTTCTTCAAAAACGACAGTCACAAAACACTCCCTGGTGCTCAGGGATTGGATGGAGCTGTGGATTCCAAAGTGGGAACAGAGCCTGGGCTGATGCCTCCCTCTGGAAAGGACAGCATGGTCCTGTCCCCTCATCTCCAATATCCTCAGGATCAGGGAAATGAGCGGAGAAACACAAAGGAGGGATTCCATGCAGGAGTTCAGGAGGAGCTCTGGCCACCAGCCAGGTTCGTGGCAGTGTCTCTGAGCCATCAACCAGGAGCTGGATGTTGAGTTTCCAGAGGCTTTTACACTTAATTAAACCAGAGCTTTAAACCTCTCACTGGGTTGGATGAGGTTTGGAGCAACCTGGGATAGTGGAAGGTGTCCCTGGCTTGGAATGGGATGATCTTTCAGGTCCCTTCCAAGCCAAACCATTCCATGTTTCCATGAAACTACCCAATAGCTACCCAGGCTCTCCTCAAACCTGCTGTGACCTGCCAAATATCCCAAAAACACATCCAGAGAGATTCACTGCTCAGACTCCAGCAGGAAAAACACGTTCAAAAAGGCCCTCAAAGGTCCTCACTGCTCTTTCAAAGACTCCAATCCCACGTGCAACAGGTAAGTCCAAACCTACAGCGGGATCCACATGGATTTGTTCAAGAACAGGAAGGGAAGCAAGAATAGAATGGAGAAACGTTGTTTTGCTGAGCCTGGAAGGAAAAGGAAGGGGGAGAGAGGAGGGAAGGAGGCAGGAACTGCACACGAGGGCTACAAGGAGAGATGAGAAGCGTTAAGAGCATCAGAATGACTTGATTTTCCATCCAACCACACGCGAGGACGAGTTAAAAAAAGCAACGACCCTCTTTCCACGCCTCCCCTCCCCACAGTACCGACCCCCCAGCAGATCTGGGAGGTCCCTGAGGGAAAGACAGGACAAAACCCCAGGGTGTGCAGAGTCTGGAGAGCTGCCCCCCTCACCTGAGCTGTAGCTGTCCGTGGAGGACTGCGAGATGGAGCGGGACAGGGAGCGGCGGCCGATCTTGGACGGGCGCTTGTTGAACTCCTGCTTTTGGTCGGCAAACTGGATCTGTGGGGAGAAACCAGGGAGCTGAGCCAGACCCGAAACACCCGGCAGGAGATCAACCCCAGGAAGCCAGAGCCTCGAGCAGACACCCACACCGTCCCAGCTCTGGGCTGAACCACAGTTCCCGTTGTTTGATGGGGACAGGACACGTTAAACGCCCTGTTTGGTTTAATTCCAGGCCCTCCAGCAGGGATTAGAGATGTCACTCCAACCCACCCCGTTGGAGAATACAAGTATTTAATAATATTGTATTTAAGAGCACACAACTTCACCAGACAAATCAAGGAATTTGGGAAAAGCCATTAAATCCCAGCAATTCTCCAGGCTGGAGAGCTGGATTTCCCAGGAACGTCCACAAGGAGCTGCAGCAATGGATTAACACCAATATTTGGTGGTGTTTTGCTCAGTGAAGAGTTAAAACCTGTTTCCATCTCTGTCACCACCAAGGAATGAAGATTTCAGATTCCCCCAAGACCCTGAGCACAAGAGATAAATATTTAAGCCAGCCAAGCTGATCTGCTCCAAGCACACCAGGACAGAAGGGATAAGCAAATTTCCCATTTTTTTAACAGGGAAATGACATTTAACCCTGGTATTCACAGAGGAATCTTATTCTCTGGGCTTGGTTTTCCTCCAGCTTTTGGTTGACAAGAACAGCAAAGAGGAACAAGCAATCAGTATTTCTTTATTTCCTCAAATCCAGGTTTTCCCACGAGCCAAATATCTGCTCTTACAGGTGATTTTGGGGATTTTAGAGCAGAGACTCAGCCCTCCTGTGTCCTTGATGTGCACCTTGGGTTGGACCTGTCTTCACTCTTCCCTGCTCACATCAGCACCAACTCCACGGGGCTTCACGAGCATCAGATACCTCAACATCCCTTTTAATTCATGGAATCCTGGAATGGTTTGGGTTGGAAAAACCTTAAAGCCCATCTAGTGCCATCCCCCTGCCATGGGCAGGGACACCTTCCACTGGCCCAGGTGGCTCCAACCTGGCCTTGGACACTTCCAGGGATTCAGGGGCAGCCACAGCTTCTCTGGGCAACCTGTGCCAGGGCCTCCCCACCCTCCCAGCCAGGAATTCCTTCCCAGTATTCCATCTAAACACACCCTCTTCCAGTTTTCTCTGTATGTGGTTACTGGGTCATATTCAAATGTATCCTAAAACTTGGAGTTTGAGGAGATATTTCCACTCCTGGTGCTCATCCCTTCCTGAGCCAACCCTTGATGCCCCCACTGCATCCACGATTCCTGTTAAATCTCAGGGAAATTGGAATCACGACTTCCAGTCGCTTGGACTTTGCTCCGACCATGAACTGACTCGTTCTGGTGCAGCAAGAGTCAAATATTTACACCTCTAAATTACTGAAACCCATTAACTTGGGTCTATGAACGAGCCCCTCGGGGTTTCCTGAGAAGTTCTGCAGTTGTTTCAAGGAGTCATTTCAGCAGAAGGAACTGGACCCTGTTCTGGGAATTCCAACTGGAGCTCAGTGGTTTAAGTGGCAGCACTTGAGCTGGGAGGAGAGGGGAGGGGAAGGAGCTGGCAGAGGATTTGCAGCAGCACCTGGGAGGTTTTTTCCCTGCTAATCTTAAACCAACCAACAGAATGACATCGGATCAGGAAACACACACGGGAGGGGAAAAAACCAGGACAAACTCATGTTCCAGCCAGAGCCCCAAGGAGGATTAACACCCCGAGCCCGGCGGGACGGGGGCTTTGCACACACACACCTTTATGTGCCTTCTCTAAGAAGCTGCTGGCCTGAAATAACATCCTTTTTTTTTTTTCTTTCCCCTTTTTATTCCATTAATTTAAAACAAATCCCCCCCCACGGCTGAGCAGCTCCATCAAAGCATCAGGTTGTCGGTGTGAAACGACGCTGGGATGGGCTGGGATTCCAACCAAGGGGGAATAATTTGTGCTGGAATTAACATTTCCCTTCAAGGACACTCAATGTGACTGTTCCAGGCAATGCACCAATACTGGTAACCTGGAGCTCTCTGAGCCCTTTCACATCCAAAACCAAGTATGAGACTAAGCAAAGTCAGTCCTGAACCACACCAGGCAGAACCAGAACTAGGCTTTATAATAAGCCCTGCCCTCCACCCCCTTCAGGGTTTAAACCCTTTAAACTACAAGATGGGTTTAGTTTTAGCTGAGCAAGGAACTGACCCCTCAAGAGGTTGAAGGAAGCTCCAGGAAAGGAAAATGTTGGGAAGGGGCCAGGCCAAGGCTCAGATCTGCTTTTACCTTGTGTCGACCAACATCCTTTGAGCAACAGAGGGAGCGGGCAAGAAGGGCTGCTGGAATTCCATAGAAGCATGGAATGGCTTGGGTTGGAAGGGATATTAAAGATCATCTCGTTCCAGCCCCCTGCCATGGGCAGGGACATCTTCCACTAGACCAGGCTGCTCAAATCCCAAGTAACCCCACGAGGCAAGACAGCACAACGCGCCGGGAACGGGGGACATCCAAGATGGGGATGGATGAGAACAGTGATTTGGTTCCAGCCTGAGCTCATCCAGCTCACACCAAAACACCCCTGAAGGCAACAGCCACCCCTGCACAGCCTGGAGCTCCAAGGAGAAGCTCTGAAGCCTCTGAGAGCTGCAGCTCCTTGGATTTAGGAGCCCAACCTGCTCCCAAGGCGCCGCTGCTTTCAACTTCCAGCAGGAAAAACCAATTCAAGCTGGAAAACCTCCCCGCCAGATGTGCAAGGCCAATGACTCCTAAGATCAGGTGTGTGCTCACCACATTTCAAATGAGCCAGGTCTCACTTCCACCCGGGGCTCCTGCCACAAAACTGTGCTCCTTCACCGAGAAAAACCACTCCCGTCATCCAAGGTTTTCCTGGAGAATCTCCCTGCTCTCAACCCCATCTCCTCCTCCGTTGCAGTGCTCCGAGGAACAACCCCAGAGACACGTGTTTGGCTCAACTCCATCACTGAAACCTGCTCCCAAGAGAAAATGGAAAGAAATTCTCCGGAGATCGGGATTTCCCCCGAGCAGTCGGCTCCAGAAACGAGCGACCGGGCTGGGGTGGAACAGCAAGGAAAGGAGGAGGAAAAGAGAGGAAAAACACGAACGGAAAAACGCAGTTCTGGTGCTGAAGAGTGCCCTCACCTGGGCTTTGATCCCCGAGTCCCCGTTGACATTGTACTTCTTCTTGTTGGGCATGGCAGTGTCCCCGCCGGCTCCGCGTCCCTCCGGAGCAGGGAATGCCCCCCATTTATACCTGCCCATCCCGCTCTGCTTTCAGCTGCGGGGTGGAGGCACAGGGAGGGAGGGAGGGAGGGAGGGGAGGAACCGCTGGCATTTTCAGACTCCCTCTTTTTTTTTTCCCCCCTTTGGCAGGGAAGGACCCCAAGACTTAATGAGGCGTCCCGGCAAACAAGCCCCGCTTGTGTTCCGCGGGGAATTACAGCGGTTCCCGACCTCCAGACAGTTGGCGGCCGGTTTGAACGTGGCCTGGCTTGTGTGTGCATAACAATGCCTTATTTATGTAACCAGAACAGTTCCCTGCTCGCTATAATTAACTTGCTAATTAAGCTCTTTTAACTCGGGTTCTCCCCCCCTCCGTTTTCTTTCCCCCCCCCCCCCCCCCCCCCCCCCCCAATGTCAGATGGTTTCGTTAATGGAGCCTCATTAGAAGAAAATTAACTAATGAGCAACTAAAACAACGCAGGCATTTGGTACGTGGCAAAGTGGTTTTTAATTATGTGGGTCCTCGCTCTGCCCCCCACGGCTGCAAGTGCACAGTTTGTCCTTGGAAGGGTCCACACTCCCACTCCACACTCCCACTCCACACTCCCACTCCACACTCCCACTCCACACTCCCACTCCACACTCCCACTCCACACTCCCACTCCACACTCCCATCCCACTGTTCCCGTGCCAGACCTTTCCTTTTAGGATCATGGAATGGGTTGGGCAGGAAGGGACCTTAAAGCCCATCCCGTGCCACCCCTGCCATGGGCAGGGACACCTTCCACCAGCCCAGGTTGCTCCAACCTGGCCTTGGACACTTCCAGGGATCCAGGAGCAGCCACAGCTTCTCTGGGCAACCTGTGCCAGGGCCTCCCCACCCTCCTTTTTCCCATTATTTCTTCCTTATAGCTGGTCTCTTCCCACCTTGCAGGTTCCTACTGCAGCAGGAAAAGGGCTGTGGATGGAGCAGACCCACTGCAGGACAATTCCTTTAACTGAGTGGCTGGAGTTGTTATCCAGAGATTTTTGTCCCTGACAAGGTACCAAGGACAACCCCCATAAAGAACCTCAACATCCTGCCCAGAGAAGCTGTGGCTGCCCCTGGATCCCTGGAAGTGTCCAAGGCCAGGTTGGAGCAACCTGGGAGAGCGGGAGGTGTCCCTGCCCATGGCAGGGGTGGCACTGGATGGGCTCTAAGGCCCCTTCCAACCCAACCCATTCCATGATTCCATGATCTGCTTCCAAAGGAGAAGGAGCTGGGAAGCACTGGGGCATCATGGATTGACCTCAACACCACTTCTGACTGACTGTGACACCAAAGCTCCCCCAGCTCCATTTAGGATCCCAAACACCTGATTTACAGCTGATTTACCACTGATCTGACCTAATCTTGCTCCTCAACAACTGCCATGCTTGCCCAGAGGATGGTACACACTTGCCAGGGAAAACTGATTCCAAGCGGCTCCTCCAAAGAGTTCCTGCAGAGCAGGACGTGCCATGATGGCATTTTCCACCTCCCTGGCAAATTTCAAGGAATCTACTGAAAGGATAAGAATTCCCAGGCTCTAGGAAAGCAACACCTGCTTTGTGGGGGGAAATCCCCTCCCAGAATTCCTCAGTTATAGAATAACTGAAAAACGGAAATATGGAATATTTCCAGTGTGGAAGTGTCAGGGAATGTGAAGCTGGGATCAGCACCACCTGCTTCAACTGACACTCAGGTCAATGTTGTGTTGTCAAGGCAAATTTTTAATTTTGACCATTATTGGTGACCCTTTTCCTGCAAAATCCC